ATAAATAAGGATAAAATAGTCCTTGAATTTTTTTATAAATTTTTTTCAAAACAAGGGTATTATTGTCCAAAAATTTTAATAATTAAGGGTAAAATTGCAACAAAATTAAGATTACCAAATAATTTAAAATACCTAAGAGAATGGAGGTAATCATATTACCTCTTATATTACTAACAATATTTACTACTGGTTTTGGAAAATTACTGGAATCTTATATTACTTGACAAACAAATGTGATAATTAAGTAATATAAGATGACATTACCTCAGTAATGGGAGATTACTCCCAACCAAACACACCCTTAAGGTACATGTTAAGAAAACTAAAATTTGTTTTTAATTTTTGTTTTAATAAAAAGTTAATTCTCAGTTCACACCTCCAAAAATGGTTATTTAATATTATTTAAAAAAATTAATATAATAATACCATTTTATTATCATATTATCCAACTTTATTTAAGTTAAACATTTTTAATTTTCTAATTTTTTTCTTAATGTATAGTTAAGTAAAAATATATTTTATTTTTGGTATATGACATTGATTAGGGGTGGGATAAAAAATCCGAAAACCGAACCGAACCAGTAACTGAATCGAAACCGAAACGAAAATTAGGTTTTTTTACAAATCGGTTTGGTTTTCGGTTAGTGAAATTCAAAAAACCGCAAAACCGATTCGGTTTTAAAAAAATTGCAAACCGGTTTTACCCTACATATAAAAGCAAAAAAAATTTTTTTTACTCCTCACACGCAGTCACGCTACAGCGCCATCCACATTCGTCTTTCACTCTCTTTGCCTGCAGTCACCAAATCTGAAAATTTCAAAATTCAAATCTCTACACTTTGTCTTCATCAATCATCTGTTCGTCACTTCCAAAGTTCCATACTCCAGTCGCCGGCAGTTCCAGTCTTCCACACCGTGACTCCACCCACAATACACACCGTGAGTCGTGAGCAGAGCTGACTCCACACCATGAGCTACTGAGCAGAGTTGACTCCATCCAATTCCACTGTCCAGTCACCGTGAGCTACTCCATCCACACCGTGAGCTACGTTCGTCGTTCGCCAGCACCCAACACTCCGGCAGATTCCACTTTCCAGTCAGGCAGTCATGCCATTGTCCCACCGTGAACAGAGTCTTCTCTCCAAGCTCCGATCTGCCGAGCTTCACGTTCACAGTCCACAGATCACTCTCCAGTCAAGCCACTATGAGGCGTGAGCAGACTCCACCGTGAGGCTTGAGTAGACCCACCCTGAAGAGACTCCACCGTGAGCACTGAGCCACTGAGCAGACCCACCATGAGCATACTCTTGAATCTTGATTTGAACAAGTTATTAGTTATTAGTTATATGCCATGCTATTTGTGCTAAAGTTTTTGTTTGTTTTGTTATAATGGTTGTAGTTTAAATCAGGTGGTATTTGGGTGGTTTCTGGTAAATTGATTATTGTGTTTTTCTCGTTGGGGTTATTTGTTAGTTTGTTACTTTGTTATAATGGTGGTTGTTTAAATCAGCAACCTTCCTGATTTTAAAATTAGATAGTATTTGGGTTTCTGGTAAATTTATTATTTTGTTTTCTTGTTGGGATTATGTTATGATTATATTAATCTTTCTCAAATGTTTGGTTCAGTTTATTCATGGATGGCTAGATGCCATATTTTAAAATTCTATTGAGATTTCTGATATGTCGTAAATAGAAACTGATGGATGCCAGATTTTAAAATTCTATTGAGATTTCTGATATGTCGTAAATAGAAACTGATGGATGCCAGATTTTAAAATTCTATTGAGATTTCTCATTAAGTAAAACCTCAGGCTGACAAATTAATTGATGGGTTTTGTAATGTCTGTGATTTGAACTTTGAAGACAGTTTGTGTTTAAAATTAACTATGTTTTAATTGTTTATTTGTGCGGATTTGTTAGATTGGAGAAAGAATATATATTTGAAAATGATTTTTTTTTTTTTTTGTAACCTCTGAAGTCATGATGTATTGATGTGTACGTTAATGTTTGATAAAATACCCTAGCTTATTCACCCATTAGATTTTTATAAAATCTTTAGCATATATGCAAATAATAATTTGGGCACATACATTGATTAACATATTTACTTAATGAATTGTAGATGTCATCGGCCGTGGATAATACTGGTGAGACACCGACAAGTATGACTCCAATTCCAGCTCCAACTCCAACTCCATTAACAAATCCAGGGAGTGTGGAATCAAGAAACTCCACTAACACCAACATTGTGGGATGAAGATGATTTATGTCATATTAAGTTTTTTTATTTTGTAATTTTATGTTATGTATTTGAGTTTATTTATGAATATTGACTATTTAGTAATGTGTAATTGAATTTTTTATGTTTTTATTTCATATTTTGGATTCAGTATTTGCAAATAAGTAATTTAATGTATTTTTCATATAAAGAATACAAAAATAATACAAAATAAAAGAGAAACATAGTATGAAATTATATATAAAATAATAAATATTTGAATTTAGGGACTTAAATGAAACATTGAAGAATTTTAAGGATTAAAGGGTAATTTGAAAACCGGTTAACCGGTAACCGAACCGAAAATTCAGTTTGGTTCACATTCGGTTTTTAACAGAAACCGGTCTGGTTTTTGGTTTGGATTTTGTCCAAACCGAAAAACCGGTTTGGTTTGGATTTTGTCCAAACCGAAAAACCGGTTTGGTTTTTGGTTTGGATAAACCGGTTCGGTAAACCGGTTTATCCCACCCCTAACATTGATGGCCAACAATGTAAATCGTGGCAGTGTAATTCTACAACAAATTAAAGAGCCAACTTAAAAAATAACACTTTTTTGAATAAGATTTTTGAAATCCTATTCTGAATAGGATATGATAGAATTATGAGAATGTGTTCGCTACATTATTGGAAAACATTTTTTGAAAACATTCAGATTGTTTTTTAGTCCCCTATATTTGTTAATTTACCTAAACATCCTCCCCACCCCCTCACAATAAAAGTTTATAAATTAATAAAAACACCCCCACCCACCTAACTAACTTCTGGCAGTCGACCACCATCGCCAGACGGTGGCCATCAATCACCATAATGGCAGACAACTGGTTGGATCTAGCCGGTCGTGCACTGATCTCGCATTTTTTAGTCAGATCCACTGTGTATTTGGCTAGAAACGGCTAGATCTACAACCAGAATCTAGTCGTCGTTTACGACCAAAATCTAGCCATCAACGATAGCTAAAATATGGCTATCGTCAATAGCCAGATCGGCTCACAATAGACCGATCATGCGTTGTTTCGATGCGATCCATCGACAATGGCGGCGGCTAGCGGCCAACGATGGCTGTTGGCGGGCGACAAGGGCTTGGGTGGATGGGGTGTTTTTGTTAATTTATAAACTTTTATTGTGAAAAGTAATTGTTAAATGTTTTGAATTGAATATAATATGATTGGTTTTTCAATTGAATTGTCAATATTAAAACATTGTTTAGGATACGATAGTAGAATAGAATAGAGTTTGAAAAGTTAAACAAACAGGAGGAAGGTACTTCAGCGAAATCTCTTGGCAGATTTTGAGAAATATCTGAGAATTTTATTTTTTATTTATTTTTTTTAAGGTTTGAAATATAAAGATATCTTGCTTGTTCTTTTAATTTTCTTTTTGAAATTTAATTCACGTCTTTTAAATTTCATTTGAATAAAATTCTAATACATTTTATGTTATTGAAAGGAAACTAATGCAATTTCAAACAAAAAAAAAAAAAAAAAGAATTGATAAAGGAAAAAGTATTCTTTTATTTTAGTTATATAATACTACAATAGCTCAAATTAATCTGAGCCGTTAGATTAAGTTTTCAATAGCTCAGATGAATTTAAAAAATGTGAGAGAGTAAAGTGTATCAATAAAGATGGTTCACACGTAACCTTACAACTCTCTGATTCAATCATTAATGGTAGCTTCCTGTTTTTTGCCGATGGATTTGAATTTTGAAAATTTTTAGCAAAAGTTTGGGTTTGCCACCTAAGAGTTGGTGAAAAAAAATTTGTGTGATTAATAGAGGTGGTTTTAAAGAAAAACAAAGTGTAAGTTTTGATAGGTCATTAACTAACGGATACTGTAACTTTTATGGGTCATTTGGTTTATTATTTTGGATAAGATTTTGGGATAATATTGGATTGTTGATAGGGGGTATTACGAGGTAAACTTTAAAAATTTATGAAAAGCTCTTAGGTTTACATTTATTAAACACCCTAATAATAAAATGACAAAAACACCCCCACCACCTACAGTCCAGATCTGACCACCACCGTTGGAATCTGACCGAAAAATTTCGTTACGACACAGACCGGTCGGATCTATGCTGTAACGCGTCGTTATGGCCTTTTCCGGCAGATCCACCACAATTTGACCGGAAAAGGCCATATCTACGAACTGCTGGTGGCTGCGACGGCTGGAAAAGGCTGAAACGATGGCCATCTTTGGCCGTCAGCGACGGCCAAAGATATGGCCGTCGTTGTCTGTCAACGACGACAAAGATTAGCCATCGTTGACGGCAGATTGGCCTTTTCTAGCAAAATCCATTGTGGATCTGGCCAGAAAATGCCAGATCTCCCATTACTGGCTATTTCCGATGGCTGTGTGACTTTGTGATAGATTCTGACTACCACCGGTGTGGTTTTGGGAATCTGGCAGGTATTGGTAGATAGGGGTATTTTTATTAGTTTTTAACTTATTTTCTAGGGGTTATAAAAAATTAAAAAACTTATAAGGTCTTAACGTAATTAAAAAAATACTATATTTTAAAAATAACATCAAACAACGTTTAAACAGGATTGAGAATATGATAAAAACAAGAAACCAAATGCACCCTATATTGTTATCTTACTGGAGTACGAATTTCCAAACATCACATTAGCGGGAGGAAGTTTCCTCGAACTTTCGTGAAAAAAAAAAAAAAATGGAAAAATTCGCACACCTAAATCTGAGACTATATTCGATAGAGCTAACCGTTTTTTTCTTTGCTCCCGGTTGATTGAGCTCCCTTTGCTTCTCATATGTCAGATTCATTTAATCGTTTCGTTACGGTAAAACTACTTATTGTTGTTGATTTTGTTTCCAACAAAATCACAACCCGATTTCAGTTTTTCTGTTTTCTATTCTCACCATTGATTCTGATTCTTTTCCATTAAATCACCATTTCGCCGCATTATGTTTGCTGTGTTTTCGATTTTGAAATTGTTGCGAGCCTTTTTGTATTGGGTTTTGTTTGGCTGTGACAGTGAGGTAGATACACAACAACAGCGGTGGAGGTCAACGGAGGTAAACGGCAATGAGTTCGTCGCAGAATGGATTGTTGCCACCGCGAGATATGGAGGCCGGTCCTTCGAAAAGAGATACCGGCAGCGATGAGGACGATGACCCACTTTCGGATCCTTTCGTTATTTCCCAGACTAAACATGAGTCTCTCAAGTCTCTCAAAAGATGGAGAGTATGTTACCAGCATTTATTATAATCAATCAAAGATAGGGTGTGTTCGGATATTGTTTGTATTGAAATGGGTTTTGTGATTAATAGCAAGCGGCCCTAGTGTTAAATGCTTCTCGTCGATTTCGTTACACATTGGACTTGAAGAAGGAGGAAGAGAAAGAGAACAGAAGACGGATGATTAGATCCCATGCCCAAGTTATAAGAGTAATGCTTTTAACACTATTAATCTCTGAATAGACATTTAAGTCTTTGAACATAATTTGTGTTGATTATTTTTCACCTTCTTGTATTAGGCAGCATTGCTTTTCAAATTGGCAGCAGAACAAGATATTGGTATGTTAGTGAGGTTTTCTTGTTTTCTTTTAAATATAAAATGAATTCCAGAAAGGCGGAATAGTAGTCCACAAGAAAAAGAAAATCCAATATGGATGCAAAAGAAAATTTAAACTCAAAATCATCTCCCTACGGTTTCCCTACTTTCTTGAATGAAAAAGAATGGAATGCCTTTGCATTCTTTAGAGGATGAAGCTGAAAGAGAAGGAAGAAAACGGACTTGTCCTGAAAAATTTCAGCATCTTTCCCCCTAGCACCATAGTTTTTTTTATTTTATTTAATTACCTTTGGGTGACCGAGTGGTTCGATAGAGACTCTTGGATATATTACTCGAGAGGTCTTAATTTTAAGTCCCTCCTCGGTTGTTAATAGGTGTAGCCACTGGAGCTCTTATCTGGCCGGTAGTTTCAGGGTCTTGGCGGATTAGTTGAGGTGCAAGTAAGCTGGCTCAAGAGACTGAATTATTAATTTTCTTCCAAAATAAATTGTACCATTGCCTATCCTTGTTAGGATATAACGTAAATCATAATCTTCTTTTGGGCAATCAGAAAGACCAAAACTAAGAATCAAGGATTCTTTTCTGATGTTGTTCATCATTAATATTCTTGAAAAGAATTTGTGCATTTTTGCTTGTTCAAAGTTTCATATCCTTCCATTTGCAGTGGAATTTTGGAACTAGACGGGCGATAGTGGGTTTTAGAAAGGACTTTGACTTGGTTACTTGAATCTTGTATGGATGGTAGAATTGGGTGACATGTGTGCATCTAGGGTCTTGATATATGGAAAGACTCTAGATATCTAATATGGTGCAAATTTGAGCTTATATAAACCTCTTATGTTACTCTATTCTTCATTTGACGTATAGCAATATCCAGTTACAACTCTTCATGTTGATTTAAGAGGAAGTAGTTTTCAACAAACCTTGATTTAGTGTCACAATAGGCCTACCATATCACTAGGCTGTGGGAATATTTATAAAAATACGTGTTCTATAGTAAACTTCCTAGAATATGCCTAATGTAATGTTGTTTAGTTTCTTGTGGTTGTTTGCCTTTGGTCTCTCTCCTAAGATTCATAGTTTTACACTCATTGTTAATTACTCATCTCCTTAGTGTTTACATTATTATTGATCCACTTGATCAATTGAGTAGAACCAAAATGCATTTTGATGTAGAATTTGGTTATTGTACCAATCATTTATTTTCTTGGTCAATGGCTTATGTGTCATTGGGTGTATTGTATAGGATTCTTTAATTATGATAGACTCCTCCGTCGTAGGTACACTATGTGTCGTGCTGTTTTATATGGATGTTCTTCTACACAATTGGATGCTTCTTCTGTTTTTTTTTTTTTTTCAATAAATTTTTTTTTTTCATTAGAGACATGGATCAAAATGCTTAACCATAGAAAAATAATGAAATAAACCTAAAAACACAAACATGTTTTTCATTTGGCAATAATTAGAGGATAACGTGAGAGCTATGGCTTGCTTGTTTGTAATGTGAACAAATGTGTGGAATCAATGACCATTGAGATTGATGGAATGAAAGTTGACTAACTTGTCACCATTGTTAGATGTTATAATGGTTATAGTTAGAAGTGGCAATATGTTATGGTAAATATTGAGATGGTATTTAGTAGATAGATAAACCATTTATTTAAAGCTTATGGTGATGGTAAGAACATTGCACGCATTGCCGTTTCATAACATAGAGAATTTTGAGATCTTTTTTGATTAAATCTTATGTGGTCAGCTTAGTTCCATGCTATAGCATGCCAAGTTACTCTCAGTCTTTGGTAGGGTTAGTTTTAAAAGATTGTTCTTGGTAAACAAAACAATGAGACTTCAAAGGAAGGGTTTTGTTATTGCTTTTCGCCTATTGTAACTTTGCTCTTTAATTCCTTGTGATCTAGAGACTAGCAAAGCGATCTCTCAGTGTCTTTGCATGTTCTAAAACTTTTGTGGATTGGAGGGGTGTGTTGCAAGATTGTATGTGAGTGGTAAGTAGATCTAATTGCACATCAATTAACGGGTTAATTAGATGGTTAAGTGGTTTCAAGAGCTTGGAATAAATGGAGAAAAATAGAGAGGGAGGAGGGAAAAAAATAGCATAAATTAGAGGAAAAGAGGGAGGGTATAGGGAATGGATTAAGTTGAGAAATTAACCTTAAGAACTAAAGGTGTCCAGTTTTCAATTCAACTAACAATAATCAACACTTGCCTAAGAGGAAACCATATAGCTATATTTATAGTGGCCAAATTTCTGCAAAATTTTACAAGTTTTTATTCTCGAAAAATCTTGAAATAGTATTTTCTAAATAATTTTAAATCCTACGTTATTTCTACATAAGGTACAATGTGTAAATTGTGATAATAATACTCCTATTATGTATTTTGTTGCTTATGTTGTATAAGTTGATTATTTATCTCGTTATACTTTGACTACTTATCTGATGTTAGATACTGTTGCTCCACCACCAACATCTAGTGGTGATTATGGAATTGAACTTGAACAACTTGCTTCAATGACTCGGGATCATAATTTTTCAGCTTTAGAGCAATACGGTGGGGTGAGTCATTGTGAGTGCATTTTCCTTGTTTTACAATGTGCTTATGTCCTTAGTTACGTAATGCTTGGTTGCTTCCTACATCAGGTTAAAGGGTTATCAGATTTGTTAAAAACAAACATAGAGTTTGGAATTAGTGGTGATGATACCGATTTGTCAAAGCGGAGGAATTCATTTGGATCAAATACATATCCTTTAAAGAAAGGACGAAGTTTCTTGGTATCATTCGATGTTGTATTCTCATTCTTTTTGTCTATTTTTGTTAGGAACATAATGCTCAACACTATTTATTTGTGCGCTTATCTTTCAGAAATTTCTTTGGGAAGCTTGGCAAGATTTAACCCTTATCATCTTGATTGTAGCCGCCGCAGCTTCATTAGCATTGGGAATAAAGACAGAGGTTTGCTAGTTATTTATTTTAAATAGTAATATTAGTAATGATATAATTATCCTTAATTGCTTCGAAGATTATACCTATGAAAAGACTACCTAGAAGATTAGAGTTTTGCATCAATACTTGTTGCTATAGAAGGATGGTTCTTGGATTGTGTAGAATTTAATTGTGTCAAGAAGGAAGTGGAAGCAGATGAGAGTTTGTCATTGTGAAGAAGTTAATTGCATGGAGGACAGAACAAATGGTAGTGGGGATTGCATACAAAGTGACAATTAATTTCATTGTTTTTACGATGTTCATGAAAATTGGAATTTGGTGCAATTGGAATATCATAATTGTTGTCATAACACATAGGATTAGTTTCAGAAAAGGAAACAATAACACATTGGAGTAGTTCAAGAAGGGAAACAATCCTACATCAAAAGCCTTTAAACATTGAAGAAACAATGTAAACTACACTATCATCATTGTTGTAGTAGCTACAAGTTGATACTTAGGCTTAGCGACGAAACAAGTAACAAAATTTCAACTTTTTGCTTTTCCAAGAAATTAGATGCTCTCAAAAAGAAAAATCTAGTAGTGGACTTATTGTTAGTGGTACCTCTGTCAACATCGGAAATTTTTTTACGAGTCTTGAGTGAAGAGAAGAATAAACTCTATTGCAAGAAGCCTAGAAGATTCATGTGATCAACGTAAAACACTTAAAGTACATCAAAATGAAGTTTAAAAAAAATGCAAAATCATTATTGATAGAATTAAGGCATAAGTCATAGATCACTATATAAGTAAAAGTTCCTCATAATCCCTCGTATATTCCTTTGGAGATCCCTTTGTGACCAATATCGTTTCGTTCCTTTTAATTGAGGAAATTAACTTGGTCTTGATTTGTACATCCAATTAAAACCACCAACTACTTGGAATAAAGGAATAAATTCTTATTTTCCAATCATTAAGAAATGCAAAAAGTTCTTCACCCATTTCTAATGAAAAAATTGATCAAGAATAGCCTTTTCTGGGGGTAAAGCTTGGATAGAGGATAAATAGAGGAAAAAACGAGCAAAAATTTAATGAGTAACGAGTTTTTGAAGAAAGAAGAGGATTGGGAAACTTGTGAATTCACTTAGGGTGGTAGAAAGTGTTGGATCTACACTCTTAGAATTTTAGGAGGATTTGGGTAAAAGAGTAAAGGGAGCATTAAGTTATAGAGAAGAAAATTGTTTTCATGAGAATAAGTAAACAGTTGGAGGGATTCAAGAAGAGGAAGGAAAATATGGAGATGCAATGTTAGAAGCAAATAAATCACCAACTAACGTATCACATGAAATATCTTTGAGGAATAGGTCACTGTAAAGTTTTACATGGCTTATTTAAATTGCATGTAGAGGGTATAGAAATTTGGTTAAGAAAAAAAAGAATGTTTAACTTTTGTTCTATAAATCACCAACTAAGCCCAAAATATTAAGTTATAGGTTATGGCTCAACAATAGTTTTTAAACTGAAACAGTTCTCTTTTCTAGCCCAGTATAACTCTTTTATAAGCAATGGGTTTCTTTTGCAGCACTAATTATCTTATATTTCTCATTTTTACTTGTTACTAGCTATTAGTGATTATCGTCAGTCTCTTCAGTTTCAAAATCTAAACAAGGAGAAGAGAAACATACAAATAGAGGTGTGTACTCATCATTTATACTTTGCTGTTTCTTCTTTTGCTTTTGTGTTGATTTTATCAGAAAATCTCTACAGGTCATGAGGGGTGGTAAAGCAGTGAAGATTTCAATATTTGATGTAGTTGTTGGTGATATTTTACCTCTTAGAATAGGTGATCAGGTGGGCGTACTCTGGCACAAATTTTGTTTGTCAGGTTTTGCTTAAATTTTTTTTTTGTAATCAGTTGAACTACTTTCCTTAGGTCCCAGCTGATGGAGTCTTGGTTACTGGTCATTCTCTTGCCATTGATGAATCTAGCATGACTGGTGAAAGCAAGACAGTAAGTTAATTATACTTGTGAGTAATGTGACCACTAATGTTTAAACTTTACTGTTCTTAAGCACAGTGTATGTTTTAGGTCCGCAAAGATCAGAAATCTCCCTTTCTGATGTCTGGCTGCAAAGTAGCAGATGGTGTTGGTACAATGCTGGTAATTTGATGTGTTATTTTCTTTTGCTTGATGTGTTAATAATTTAATGGAATCTGATTTTTACTGTTTTAAAACATTGGGATGTTCTCTTTATTGTTCAATCTATTTGGATTTTGGGGATCATTGAAAAACTGTTGACTGGTTATTGAATTATGTTTTTTTTGGTTCTGGTGCATCATGTGTGAATTGTATTCATTCTTGATATATCTCTATTTGGTGATGCTTAGAAGATTTTTGTTTGTATACTGCATCAAGTGTGCTCTTTTAATTTATATGATGTATTTAATTGTATAGTGATGGCATCTGATTGTAATATCGTGATAACTTGGTCTTGTTTGGAANTTAAGTTATAGGTTATGGCTCAACAATAGTTTTTAAACTGAAACAGTTCTCTTTTCTAGCCCAGTATAACTCTTTTATAAGCAATGGGTTTCTTTTGCAGCACTAATTATCTTATATTTCTCATTTTTACTTGTTACCAGCTATTAGTGATTATCGTCAGTCTCTTCAGTTTCAAAATCTAAACAAGGAGAAGAGAAACATACAAATAGAGGTGTGTACTCATCATTTATACTTTGCTGTTTCTTCTTTTGCTTTTGTGTTGATTTTATCAGAAAATCTCTACAGGTCATGAGGGGTGGTAAAGCAGTGAAGATTTCAATATTTGATGTAGTTGTTGGTGATATTTTACCTCTTAAAATAGGTGATCAGGTGGGCATACTCTGGCACAAATTTTGTTTGCCAGGTTTTGCTTAAATTTTTTTTGTAATCAGTTGAACTACTTTCCTTAGGTCCCAGCTGATGGAGTCTTGGTTACTGGTCATTCTCTTGCCATTGATGAATCTAGCATGACTGGTGAAAGCAAGACAGTAAGTTAATTATACTTGTGAGTAATGTGACCACTAATGTTTAAACTTTACTGTTCTTAAGCACAGTGTATGTTTTAGGTCCGCAAAGATCAGAAATCTCCCTTTCTGATGTCTGGCTGCAAAGTAGCAGATGGTGTTGGTACAATGCTGGTAATTTGATGTGTTATTTTCTTTTGCTTGATGTGTTAATAATTTAATGGAATCTGATTTTTACTGTTTTAAAACATTGGGATGTTCTCTTAATTGTTCAATCTATTTGGATTTTGGGGATCATTGAAAAACTGTTGACTGGTTATTGAATTATGTTTTTTTTGGTTCTGGTGCATCATGTGTGAATTGTATTCATTCTTGATATATCTCTATTTGGTGATGCTTAGAAGATTTTTGTATGTATACTGCATCAAGTGTGCTCTTTTAATTTATATGATGTATTTAATTGTATAGTGATGGCATCTGATTGTAATATCGTGATAACTTGGTCTTGTTTGGAACAAACTTGCAGCTGACCCAATGTAGAAAATATAAAACTTGAAGACTAGTGAACCTGGGAACGCCATGTTCTGCTTAGCCCTCATATATATAGTTAAGAAAACAAATTTTTGACTGCACAACAAAATTATACGCCATGCAATTATATTTACTTCATGTGGAATTTCTTTTTTGTGCTAGGATTGATCAAAATTTCTTTGGTCTTTTGGTAGGTAGAGATTGGGTGAAGTAGTGTTAAGAGTACTTTATCAATTCTGCAGTTTATTTATTCTTTTCTTTTGCATGTTTGCTTCTTTCTCCTTATTTTTCATTCAAGGCTATGTTTGTTTTACTTATTTTGCACTTTTCATACCGGCAATATGAAAGATTTATCTAATTTTAAGATCTACAGGTAACAGGTGTTGGAATCAATACTGAATGGGGACTGTTGATGGCTAGTATCTCGGAGGATTCTGGTGAAGAGACTCCCTTGCAGGTTTCATCTCAATTATTGCTCCATTAGAAATATGTTGCAATTTTTGTGATAAACATTATAGCTGCCTTTTAATGTTCTCTAAACTGTAACAGGTACGCTTGAATGGCGTTGCAACCTTAATTGGTATAGTTGGGCTCACTGTAGCTGGCTTGGTACTTGCTGTCCTTTTGGGCAGGTACGTTGAAGAGGATAACTACTTTATGTTCTGTTAAATGCGTTGCCTTGCTTACCATCTTCCTACTTATAATTCATTTCGGAACTCTTAGATTCTTTACTGGAAACACCACTGAGTCAGATGGAAGGCCTCAATTTGTCAAAGGTCACACTGGTATTGGTGATGTTGTGGATGGGGTCATAAAAATTATTACCATTGCAGTAAGTGTAGTCCTTTGGTATATTATTTTTAATGAAAATGATTATTTCTTGACTAACATGAGAGCCATTTAGGTTACAATTGTAGTTGTTGCAGTGCCTGAAGGGCTTCCTTTGGCTGTTACATTGACGTAAGCATATGTCATCCCTTTTGTTTCACACAAAAATTATGATGGAGCTAATACGAATCTGGTTTTTTTTTTTTTTTTCTCTCCTGTTCTCTTTAATTTCATTGTTACTTGATTCTGTGACAGCCTGGCATACTCAATGCGAAAAATGATGGTAGATAAAGCCTTGGCAAGTATCATAATCTGTTCTTGTTTACATATCTCTTTTTCTTTCTATGATTGCTTCTGTTTCAAAATTTTGTTTCGTAACTTCTTTGTCTAACTGCATTAATATATGCAGGTGCGTAGACTTTCAGCGTGTGAAACTATGGGTTCAGCAACAACAATATGCAGTGATAAGACTGGGACATTGACCTTGAATCAGGTGGGTTCTACACCACCAAACACTACCACAGCAGAATGTATAGAATATTGATCTGGTGTGCAATTTCCAGATTTGGAAAAAAATAAAAAATTAATTTTGGTTGTGTCATATGCTAAATGTACATTTAATATGTCCACAAGAAACAGAGGAATTTGAAATTTATGCTTTCAAATTTTGGGACAAATAAAAAGACATCTGGGTCATTTTATGCATTATTTATTTCATTTACAGAGGAGTGGGTTAGATTTAGATACAAAAGAATAAGAACATAATGTAACCGATATAAACTTCTTAACCTATAAAATCAAAGCTGTAGGGAGGAGAGCGAATTTAGCTTAAACTTTAAGGTGGTAAACGTTAGAATTAATTTTAAATAATTTTATTTTTCATTCAAATGCTATTGATGAGTTGTGTTATGGGTTGCAAAACCTTGGGTGTTCTAATTATCTTTTGTGCTGTTCTTATTTCAGTCAACTTTCACGAATAATTTTTCTATAAACAATATACTTTAAGTTAGAACACTGTAACAATATGTAGTATTACTATTACATTTGGTTTATTTGCTCTCCTTGCTCTTAATCTGTATTGTACTTTTTACCTTTTTTTTTTACTATTTAGTATTCATGTCAACGTAGTTTCTCCTACATTCTCTACAATTTAAAATTTCTTTTCAAGTTGTTTTGTTTTTGAAGCTTGTATGGCAGTCACTTAGACATTTTATCCTGCTTTTGTGTTTGTACTTTCTTTCTAAATAATCTTCATAAGGGTTTGACTGGTGGTAGCTTTTTTTATATTACAGATGAGAGTGGTTGAGGCTTATGCTGGGAGAAAAAAGATAGATCCAGAAGATGACACCTCACAAATTCACCCAGCGGTTGTCTCTCTGTTAACTGAAGGTGTTGCACAAAACACTACAGGCAATGTCTTTGTGCCAAAGGTATAGGTCACATGTCAAGGGAAAACATTTTTTTCATTTTCAATTTATCGGGTGGGTTTGATTGTGTGGATTTTTTTTATGATTCGCTTAGCTTTACTCTTCCTCTTGAATGCCTTGAACCTTGACTATGCTTTTGACTGTTTTTTTCTCGATATCCAACAGTTTTTTTTTTCCTCTCTCCATTAGTTTTTCCAAGCTGGGGACTTTTGTTATTTATCAGTTAATTTTGCTAATTCTTACAATGTAAACCATGAAGCACCTAATATATGTTTGCTTTGCCAGGATGGTGGAGATGTAGAGGTTACTGGATCTCCCACAGAAAAGGCTATTCTTTCTTGGGCAGTCAAGGTATCCTTTTCAACTATATTTCAGTGTCTACATTACGTATGTGTTTGTTTTTTTTATCATTATTGGAGAAGTAGGTTTTTTCAGTTCANTATTACTATTACTATCTATTCTTGTTCTTCTTATTACATTGAAAGCAAAGGAAATTTTTCCAGTTTTGGGAGATAAAAGAGATTAAACGATTTACCTATATTAGATAGAAGTAATATTTAAACTCGAGTCATGGATGTGTTATCCTTTTGATTGTTCTATGTTTAGGAATTGCTGTCATTAGTATTAGTTTTGTCATGACTTTGATGGGTTTCTACCTCTATGATTAATTGAATTATCAGCGACTTAATAGACAGAAATCAACTAGTAAAAGATGTAGAACAACAGATTCTAAATGTTAAACAGAAGATCCTTAGAATTTTCATATCCAATGATTTGTCGTGATAATATGTTGACACCTGGACATTTATATGTATCAATATCAACATGGTATATAACAGTATAATGTGTATAGGTATCAACATAACATACTGTGATAATCTGAGGGTTATTTTATTTTATTTTAATTTTAGTTTTTATATTCTTAAGACACTCATGCAGTCATGCTAGTCATTACTCTCTATTTGTGTTCTTTGGAAAGTCAGTGTGAACTAAAAATAATGTTAATATGATTTTATGTATGAATCAATACAGCAGATACATAAATGATGATTCTAATAATATCTTGGTATTGAAATCGTTTAAAACTTTTTTAAATAAGCTTTTGGAAGATGATTTTGCTTCTTAAATTCTTTGCAGGATTTTTTCAAAGAAGCTGTTGATGAAATGGCAGCGAGAAGCCTGCGGTGCGTTGCCATTGCATACAGATTATATGAAATTGACAAAGTTCCTTCTGATGAGGAGAGCTTAGACCCATGGGTTTTGCCAGAAGATGATCTTGTTTTGCTTGCTATTGTTGGTATTCAGGTATGCCTGATGACATAAGTTTTCCATTATACCGCAAATTTTTTCATCTTGGTGTTTAATCAGCTACATCCCTGTGACCTTAATGTGGATATCTTATTTTAATATTTATTTCTATTTTATGGAAGCAGGTGACCTTCATGTAAGATATAGCAATTTCCTGTGCTTGACATCTTTATCTGTCTAGGCTCATACTCCTTGTTTTTCCCCATTTTGTTCTGAATCATCTCTTTGTCTTATTGAAAAGTATTTCATAGGATGTGATCTCTAAACTCCAATCAGTATTGTATATCCTTTGGATCAGCTGTTATTAGAAAGATCTTTAGTTTAAGTTTGTTTAGACCTTGAAGGGTCCTTCAGCATGCACTTACTGGGTCCTTCAGCATGCACTTACTTTGTCCCCTGGTTTCTAGTGCCTACCACTGCCTAATATGATATTTATCTGTAGGACCCTTGCCGCCCAAGTGTCAAAAATGCTGTAAAAGTGTGCAAAGAAGCTGGGATAAAGGTAGCTTGTTATATCTCTTGATAATTTGCTTTCAAATTTAAATCATGTGAATAATCATTCCTTTATCTCTCTATGGATCTTATTAGATCTGAATTTTTGAAATGTCAATTGCTTGATGCTGTTTTATTCATTTTTTGGTTCAGTGTCAAGTTTATTGATAGTGATGCTGTTGAATGTAAAACTAAATTTGATATAGAAGTAATTAAATGAAAAATGTCTTCTGAGGCTCATGTGTTTGAATCCGCAGGTACGCATGGTCACTGGAGACAATCTTCAAACAGCAAAAGCAATAGCTTTTGAGTGCGGAATACTTGGTTCTGAATCAGATGCTACTGGGCATACTATCATTGAAGGAAAAACATTCCGTGATTTTTCAGAAGAAGAAAGGGTACAAATTGCCAAAGAAATAACAGTATGTCCTCAACTGTGTGAATTTCCTAGATCATGTGTTTAACTACATAAGCTTCTTTCCTGATAGTTATGTTCTTAATATGATATCACATATTTTTGGTTGGGTATTCAAGATGAATCAACAATTAATTTGAGTTTTGTATAGGTGATGGGGAGGTCTTCTCCTAATGACAAGCTCTTGCTTGTTCAAGCACTGCGTACGGGAGGGGATGTTGTTGCTGTGACTGGAGATGGCACTAATGATGCTCCTGCACTTCATGAGGTTTGTTGTCTTTGTGTCTTTTTGTTTCATGAGTTTGGCATAGCTGTGGCTTCTTTATCATATTAAAACTAGTGTGAGCATGCGTCAAGTAGAGTTGACAAGTGATATAGGACAAAAAAGAGAAAGATAAATTGATGCTAGACAAGATCAAAAAGGAGAGAGATAACAGAAAGAAAAGAGTTGAAATCATACAGAGAATTAAGTCAGGATTATTATTTTTTGTGACAGTGCAACTTAGATATTAAGACTTTTCCCTCTGGTGTTGTCTTTTATACCTTTAGTGTGCTCAATTTTTTATATCATATATTATATAATGTTTCCCTTTCAAAGTTGATTGCATTTTTACCGTTCTGTCTTTTAGGCAGATATTGGTCTTGCTATGGGCATTCAAGGAACTGAAGTTGCGAAAGAAAGTTCTGATATAATTATCTTGGATGATAACTTTGCTTCAGTTGTAAAGGTTAGTGTGCATTTGAAAGCCTATGTGACTGGGGATTGTATGTTATACTTTTTCTTATCTACTGTTGAATGGAAATATGAATTTTCTTTGGCAACTTTTTAATAGCATAAATTCCATGTTTGCCAGTTCAGTGTGAAGTCATTATGTTGCATTTATTTGGTTTGGTTTCTTAGCAATAGAATGTGTGGAATATAGTCTGTGGTCTTTAAATGTTGTTATTTCTGAGACCTCAACTCTAGCCTCTATGCAAGTGTACTGGATAAGTGAGGGGCAGAGTGTTAAGGCTCACTCGTCGAATTATAATCCTTCCTTATACCATGAAAAGGTATTTTATGCTTTAAGCAAATATGTAATGGTCTTTAACCGATGTGGGTGTATTAGTTTTTTGGTTTTATACATTTGTGCATTTTGAAATGGCTTGCTATAAATTCTGTCTTGAAAGGCTTCTCATATTTAATGTTTAAGCATTGCTTGCGGGTTCAAAGGCATTTTGTCCTATATGTTTGTGATATGTTGGACAAGTAGAAAGACAAATGGGTTTATGGTGTTAATATGGCTTACTTTTCACGTGTTTCATTTTCTTTATTTTTCCTGTTGGATCTGGGTAAGCAGCTTTTATAAAAATTTCACATATTTATTTACAAATTTGTATCTGAGGACTTTTTCTTTGTAGGTTGTTCGCTGGGGGCGTTCTGTGTTTGCCAATATTCAGAAATTTATACAATTTCAGCTTACTGTTAATGTTGCAGCTCTCATCATTAATGTTGTTGCAGCAGTATCGTCTGGTAGTGTTCCTTTAAATGCAGTACAGGTGATTACTCTGTCTTTCCTCTTCCTATCTAGGCTCTTTTTCATTTTATTTTTTTGATATGCCAATTCTTGAAAGCTAAATTTGTGTGTAAGATTTTGCTTTGAAGAACATGGTGAATTGGAAAAAATGATTAAATTTTTTAAAAATTTGAGACTTTTAGGCATTGGCAAATTGGTTTTTGGTTGTATCTGTACCTGCACTTGCTGATAATTAAAACATCCCTACTTTATTTTTCCACAGTTCTTTTATGACTTATCCTCCAAATTGTCAGCAGAATGATATTTATTATACAACCGCGGTATTAATTTATAAGATTAGAACAAGCAGTGAATGGTTCTTCTATTTCTTTTACTGTAACATGCTCTTAGTGCATTGAACTTCTAGAAGCAGGAAGAAAATGAGTCTTGAATTTTGTACTTATCTTTGATTTTTGTAGATTAATCTATCTTATGTGTGCCTTGTTTCAAGCCACAAAATTGTTTTCTGATTCTGCTTTTTATGTCTCTTGCTTAGCAAAGGTAAATTATAGGTTTCTTAGGATTTTTAGATATATAATGAAATCAATTACAGGACAGTTTAGAATCTGGATATGGAAAGCTCCAGTTTATCGTGTTTATATATGTGTAGATTCAGGTAAAATATTGCATTTAAATATCCATTTCTTATGACCAAATTTTTTTGCATTTCTTGGTACAGTTATTATGGGTTAACCTTATAATGGATACGCTTGGAGCTCTTGCATTGGCTACCGAACCACCAACAGACCACCTTATGCATAGATTGCCGGTTGGCCGAAGGTTTGAACTATTGATTGTTGCTGAATGTGCATTATTATACTTACATTAGTATATCATATACTCTTCGGTTTGTATCTCATGTGACTTTGTACCTTCAAAGATATTGTTTTCTACAATTAGCATGATTTTTGGTTATTGTTGATATATCTCACTATGGCCTCATATACATCAATTCACTTGATTTTACATGTCAATATATGTTTGGCGTTTTTAGGCAAAACTTGAATACCTTTATGCCTCTGAATTCCAGGGATATATATTAGTGATTGTTAATTGCTTACTGAAATTTATCTGGAGTGATGGCAGACTGTGTTTAGTCGTATTCATTAATCTTTATTTACCAACACTGGCTGTTTTTTCCCTCTTATGTTTGCATAATATTCGTTTGTGCTTCTTAACTTCTATATCAAATGTATTTTTCTTTGTCGATGTCACTAAACTTAGTATATTAATAGAAAATTGGACCACCTGTTTTTGACTGCATGTGATAGATTCGGGCGAGTTTAGTTCTACCACCAAAGTAATTTGTAACATAGGACTTGAACACAATGGCATGGATCAAATGTGCTTTTTTTGTGCAACATAAGACACAAGCAATTTGACCAGAGATTCAGAGAAAGGGAAGCCTTTTTGGATAGGAAACAAAATGATATGTATTGGTGATAAAAAGAGTTACAATAGTGGACCAGGTGTTCACAATAATAAAAGCAAAGTAACTCCAATAATATAGAAGCTGTACAATACAGATTTGAATCAATCTATACAAAAAATCCCAAGGCGATATAAATTGATAACCGCATCCCAAATGAGATGAATTAAGAAAAGTGGGGAATCTTGAAAATCCTTATAGACCGAGGCCCAAAGAGAAGCTTAGAATCGAATCCTATCCCATAAATCTCTAACTTCACCTATTTTTTTCTTCAAAAAAGTGAGCTTTTTCTTTCTTTCCTGATTACCCAAAAGATCGCAGAAACAATACAACCCTAAGGGTCTTGGCTCTCTCCTCTTCGGAAGGCAAAGGCCTTCTCCATAAGCAAGTCACCACAGCCTCTCGGGATTTAACCCAGATAATTTTGGCTTTCCTACATATATTAGCCCGTAAACTTGCTGCCACTTCACAGTGCAAAGATAAATGAACAATTGTCTTGGAGCTTTTTCTACACCACACAACCAACATGGAGTAGGTGAAAGTTAGACATCTCTCTATGCACAACATCAGCTCTATTTACTCTATAATGAGTGAAAGTCCGAGCCAAAAAATGAATTTTAGGCGGAACTTTAGTTTTCTAAATCATAATAAACTGCTTTAAAGTTTCATAATGACTTTCTTCACATAAAATTCTAGCATAAGATTTAAATGAGTATTTCCAAAACTCTCTAGGTTCCATACTCTTCTATCTTTGGTTCAGTTTAGAAAGTTTTCTAGTTTCTGTGTCATTAAGGATTCTATTAAAGTTTAAACTCCAATCCCAACTGAAATTAGAGGAGGATGAATCAATAAATTCTTTATTTGAAACATTCTTCCTTTCACACAATCTATATAACTGGGGAAGAAGTTCACAAAATGGATCATCTTTCATTCATTTGTCCTCCCAGGTAGTCTTGCCATTACGCACTTTAAGCTTTAATGTGTTAAATGAAATAAGAGAATGGGAGGTTCTCACATATATTTTTGAAGAACTGAGGGGTTTTTGGGACGCTAAAGGGGTTTGGAGGAGAGGATGAGAAGGAGGTGCTATGTTACGTTGTTATTTTGTCATTACCTCTCCTGTTTCTTCATTATCTCTAAAGCATGTTTAGGAAAATTGGAGTTTTTTCCTTTGTGATAAGCAATAAGGACTGTGGGTCTCTTGCAGCCATTTTTATCAAGAGAGGCGATGCTACCACAGTGATCTTTTTACTTTTGCAAGTCTTGATATAAATGCATGATATATTGTCTGATTGAATCTCTTTTGTGTTTTCACAGGGAACCTCTTATAACAAACATCATGTGGAGGAATTTATTTTTACAGGTAAGTGATTTCTTCTCTCCTTTATGGTTATGTTGTTGGTTGATTTTGTTAAATTACATTATAATATGGGTTTTATATATTTCTGGATGACCCCTTATCTTTTTTCTTGTCGTTGCAGGCCTTTTATCAAGTTACTGTGCTCCTCGTGCTCAACTTCCGGGGCACTAGTATTCTTCAGTTAAAGAGTAAGACCAGGGAACACGCTAATGATGTGAAGAATACTATGATATTCAACACGTTTGTCTTCTGTCAAGTAAGTACACTACTTAATAATTGTTATAATTTAAGGAAATCAATTTGTAAATCGTTTAGATGTTTTGGATTAACGCTTCTTTATTTATTTTTGGGCTGATTGTTCCGTTTTACTTATACAATAAATTATGGAAGGAAGAGTAAACCAATGCCTTTAACAAGACAATTGTAGGTTGTGTAAATCTATTTATATTCGTTCTAATTATCATTTGAAGCCTTGATTCGCCGCCACTGAAACTACAGATATTCAATGAGTTCAATGCTCGGAAGCCTGATGAAATCAATGTCTTCCGTGGAGTGACTAAGAACTATCTCTTCATGGGAATAATTGGAATAACCTGCGTTCTTCAAGTGAGCAGTGATTATATATTTTTTGTTTGGGCTTTTATGTAACCTATAAATGTGTTCTTTAAGATTGCCACTCATAAAATGTTAAAAACAGATAATCATCATCGAGTTTCTTGGAAAGTTTACCTCAACTGTGAGGCTCAGCTGGAAGCTGTGGCTAGCGTCTGTTGCTATTGGCGTTTTCAGGTGAGCTCAATTACCGGTATATGGTACCGCATAAGTGCCCCGTTTGAAATATATGTTTGAGGCATATTAGTTTTATGGTTGTAAATGACAATGTTTTTACAAGCTAAAATATTAGGTTGATTTTTGGTCACTAATTTTTCCATATGGACCATATTTATTTATTTTCTCACATTTATCTGTCTATCCATTTCAGCTGGCCGCTTGCTATTATTGGAAAAAAGATTCCAGTTCCCAAGACTCCTCTTTCCACGTACTTCATGGGGCCAATTCAGCAATTGCGAAGTTGTTTTCCTAGGAGACGATCATGAAGCTGTTTGTGATCGTATTATCTCGTTATGGTAGCTTCTGCCAAACAACAAAGGATAATGATGATCACTCTTAAACCCTAAATCTTAAACGCAGAAGTAGCAATGTGGGGTAATGATGGTGACAAAATTGTACTAGTGCATGATTTCAATCTTCCTGAAGCGTTATGAACCAGAGAATATTATGGCGGTGAAGTAAGTTTGTGGGAAATCTACGAATAATTGTGTTGATTTGGTAAAGATTAGAGCACTAACCATTATTCCTAGAAAAACTAATATCAGTATATATTAATTGTGATTCATTATTGTCATTTTTTTGGTTGTACTTTCAATTGAAAATAAGATGATTAACTATGTAAAAAAAAAAAAAAAAAGTGATTCTTCTCTCTTGAAAAGAAAGAAAATTGTGAAATTTGTAAGACGGATGCAGCTTTTATATTTTTTATGTTTGTGGATAAAGTGATTTTATGATTTTTATCTATAATTGTTCATTCTTAAACGCCAGTTATTTATATCACGTAAAATTTCATGTTATGATTGAATAAATGTACATGTATCTTGTGCATTTTTTATAATTTTAAGTTTTAACATATTAAGGATCGATGTAAGGATAGACAAGGACAGTAAAAAGAAAAATAATATAGCCATCGATAGTAGTGCATCGAATGACGTTGTAAAATCTTGATTATTGATTAATTTTGACTTAATATTAATCAATAGTCAGGATTTTGTTACGTTATTCAGTACATAAATTCGGTGTACTACCGTTGGTGGCTGTAGCATTACTCTAGTAAAAAATGAGGATAGACTTTCTTTTTCTGTTGATTTTATTACATGATTTAGTTTGTTTAATAGGCAAATATTGAAGCTTGACTACTTTGTCTGGTTTTACCTTGGATCGATTTTTAAAACATTGATTAGATGTAATAATTATATTTAGGAGTGAGAGGGTTTTGAGTGCCCTGTGTCTTTTGGGGGAACCAGAACATGCAAGTTTCGGTTTTTTGATTCTTGGAATCGGAACCTGAAATGCAGGTTTTAGTTTATTAGAGTATCTTCAAAAGATTCTTTATATGACCTAAACTATTTATTATAAAGAGTTTATCTATAGAAACAAGAGTCCAACAGACTTTTTATTCTTTAAGTATAAATTAAAGAGTGAGTTTGACTCTCCACATTTAGAGAGTTAAATTTTACTCTCTATCCTAATTTTAAATAATAAATTGCAAGTTTTTATGCATTTTATTTATGATTTATCTCTTCTATTAAGTTTCTTTCTTGAAAAAATATATTCTCTCTCCTAAAATTTAAAAAGTCTATTGAATTTGAATAAAAATTTTGTTCTTTATATTTAAAAATCAATAAAGATGCTTTTTATTTATACGAAATATATTTTTTAAAATAAAGAGCACAATTGGAGATGTTTTTACCTAGGTACCCTGTAAAAAAATCAGTTACACTTGTATTAGTTTAAAAAATGACAGACACACCTTAAAATTTTATAAATACATACCTGACAAATTAAAAAACCTTAAAATTGTAAATATATATATATTTTACAAAGTATACTTATGGAATTAATTTTGGGTACTAAATTTTAGTAAACTTCATTATCCAAAAATACAAATATTATATAATATTATAATTTCTAGAGTGAATAAAGTTAAATTAACATTAATTGTGAATTTATGACAAAAGAATAAAATTTAATATTAATATTAATATTAATATGATTTATGAATCTTTAATTAAATAATTAATATGACTCTAACTTTAAGTTTGTTTAATCCGTGACACATAAGGCATGAGTTGTTAAACTATAATGTATTAATCATTTAATTAAGTAATACAATAATTTAGTAAATTATTAATGTTTATAAAACAATGTTATAATTAATTAAATAATCATGCTATGAATTTATAATGTAATATTATAATTAATTAGCTAATGTTATAAATAATTAAATTTCTAATAATTTAATTAAATAATGTATTAATGTAGTAAATTACTAGTATTTATAATGTAATGTTATAATTAATTAGCTAATTATTTAACTATAATGTAATGTTATAATGAATTAAGTAATCATACTATAAATCCATAATATAATGTTATAATTAATTAAATTTTTAATCATTTAATTAGGTAATGTATTAATATAGTAAATTTCTAATGTTTACAATGTAATGTTATGATTAATTAAGTACTATAATGTGATTTTATAATTAATTAAATTTCTAATCATAATGTAATTTCTATTGTTTATAATGTAATGTTATAATTAATTAATAATTAAATAATCATTTAACCAGTAATGTACTAATGTTTTTCAATTTATTATATATAATTAATTAATTACTAATTTATTGTAGATATAATTAGAACTTGATAATTGAAGTAAATAACTAAATATTATTAAATCAAATATATTATTTTATTTAAAAATAATTCTTTTAATAACATTAAACACTTTTAACTGGATCCTGATTCCAATTATAATTTATATACTTAATTAATTAAAACTTTAATATATTATAAACTTTAATATTATAATATATTAAAGTTTTTTATATGTAAAAATTTTAATATATTAATTTGATTAGGTTATTATAATATATTAAAGTTTTGTATATGGCGAAATATATATGTATAATTAATTGTATATATATTTGATTAGGTTATTATTATTGTTACACTATAATTTTTTATATAACATTTCATCCCATTTGACAATTTTAAATTTTTTATATGTAAAATTATAAAGACCCCCAATTCTTTACTAATATTTCATTTGAATCCAAGTTCTAATACAAGTTCCTACTCGAGTACTCGGACTCGGTTCTAAGATAGGTTCTATTCATGGTACCTGTTTTAGGTTCCCATCACAGGTTTCGATTCCGATTCCGATTTTTACACATATAGGAATCAAAACTGGATCCGTATAGTAACAGTTCCAAAAAATTGAAACTGGAACCTGCCCGCATAATGTCGGTTCTGGTTCCGGTTCTACCGGCTACCCATGCTTACCCTTAATTATATTGTGACTTTTTAGTGTCAATATAATAAAAATAAATAAATAAATAAATTACATAATTTTAAATAGCCAATAGTTTTTTCTTTTTAAGTGTTATATGCAATACAATACATTGTTATTATATTATATGCATGATATGAAGGAAACATTTTCTTTTAGAAAAATTCGTTTAACGATAAGGATGAACATTTTACAATTCTATAAGAAACTACCAGTTATAGACAAACTCACAAAAACTAAAGGGCGGCAAAACACTTTCTGTTTGTTTAGTTCTTTAGAGTAGTATTCTATTCTGAATAGGGTTTAATAAAATGTGATATGATTTTGAGAATGTATTTGATACAATTTCTAAAAATATTTAGATTATTTTTAACCCATTACATTTGTTAATTTAGCTAAACACCTTATACAATAAAAATTTATAAATTAACAAAAACACCCTCACCTACTTAATAATTGCCGGTAGTCGGCCACGACCATTGGACGGTGGTTGGAATTCACCAGAATGGCATGTAACCAGCTGGATCTGGCCATTGACGGCGACTATATTTGGCCAAATATAGTTATCAACGACTAGATCATTGGCCGTAGATCTAGCCATTTCCGGTTAGATCCATGATGGATCTGACTGAAAACGGATAGATCGGTGCACAACCGGCCAAATCCAGCCAGTCGTGCGCTGTTCCGACGACGGCGGTGGTAGCTGCTAATAGGTGATAATGGCTTGTGTGGGTGGGGGTGTTTTTGTTAATTTTAATACTTTTATTGAGAAAAGTAATTGTTAATATTTTGAGTTAAATAGAATGATTGAATTTTGAAAAATATTAAAACAAACACACTTTTCATTTTTTTGGATATGATAGTAGAATAGGATAGATTAAAAATAGTGTGCCAAACGCAACCTTATATCTTAAAATTTAATTAGAATTAGAGATTTGATTACTTTTTATTTATTTTTTATTTTTCAAATTGTCACTTATTTTTAGAACTTTTCACTAAATAAAAAAAGTGAAATTTCCTAACCTAATTTTGAAATCGGAATACTTTTTATACATACATAAATTTAATTACCTAAAATGCTTCTATATCGTAGTAAGGAGATTTAATTTATGAGTAGTGTTATTTAAGCACCAGTGAAACTCTATTTGAGCCCTATTATTATTACTTTTTAAAATTAAATATAGATTTTAAGCTGAAATTACCAAAAAGGATCTTTATAAATAGTTAAAAGTTTAGAGAAACTGTAACTTTCTTTTTGGATTTTTATTTGTATCTAACTCTATATAAGATGAAAAGTGAGGAGTAAACTGCAACACTGTTTTCATAAAAAGGTATTAACATAGATGGTTATCTTAAATACATTTTAAAAGACAAAAATTTAGTTCTTTGCTTAAAGCATAAACAATATATTCTCTCATCATGTATTGATTAGATTCAACCACAAGATTTTGCAATTGGATTTGGCTTTTATTTACTTTGAAATAAAATATATATGAACACATGCTTCACAGTGAAGTTACAACTTCATAAGTTGAAGTCATCTTGGTGTTGCTGCAACTGCTGGTGTTGAAGAAGGGCATTGTAAACTGCAATTTCACCATTTATCTTTATTATCTCATTCTGAACTTCCATTATTTGTTGTTGATATTGATATATTATTCCAACACTTCCATAAACTGGATTTTCAACTCTTAAATATGCTTCCATTGCCATGCAATCTGCTGTCTCCCCTCTTAATTCCACTGGAAGTTGCTGCTTCATTTTTAAATCAAATCAAAGCATCGAATTAGCAAAACTATATTTTATCAAACAAACCTACATAGATATAACTTAAAAGTAATGTTACCTGTAGCATTTTTGTAATGTTGCTGGCACCGAAGATCTTATGAACCCACGAAAATCTCTGAGGATTATTTGAAGGAAAATATGGTGCTAAAACACAATCTTGAGGGCATTTTCTTCTCAAAGATTTGCATGCTGCACATCTACTAGAATTTGACATTTTAGATTCTTTGATATGTTTTCCCCAATAATTCTCTCTAAATCTTTCACCACAATTATTCAAATATCTTTGAATGGTATCTTCTCAAACATTTGATTCATAATATATATAAGGGATATATACTTGACTTGATTAGAATTGATCTAATATTGGAAAGAGAGCAACGGCTAGTGTGTTTTTTTTCTTTTTCTTAAAAAAAAAAAAAGAAAAAAGAAAAAATAGGAATTTTTTCTTAAGCCAAGCTGGCAAGATTTCCTGAAAGTCAAGATTTTAAATTTTCAAATGGGATACAAAGGTGGCAGCCGGCTAAGTTTATATGAGTGCGGTACGATTTACATATGAAAGATTTTAAATTATTAGCTTGTATGCACCTCAACCTATTCCTCATGACCTAAAGTTGTCGACCAGTTAAACCCTTCAATGACTACTCATA